TTTATTTATTTTTTTGTAGGTTGATTGGCGATGGCAAGGCATTTACCGAAGATATATCTTCGTCCAATCGGTATTTGCTCAATTATAATCATAACATGCGCCATAGTATGCGTCAAATTATCGTTTAAATATGTCCGACTCAGTCACAGAACCGTGAATGAAGATGAAATCACTGGTCACAGCCCCGCGCTTGTTAACATCAGAAGCAACATGCTAGTTTCGCGGAACGAGAAATGTTCGTGTCCAAAACCAGTGATCGGTCCTCTGGAAATGGACAAACGCGTGCAACAAAGAAAAGAGTTCATCGAATGGGAACGTCAGGAAGAGCAAGCAGCGGACCCTGTAACAAGATGTGTAGCAATGTCTCCCATAGAATACATTGGATCTGGTATCACGGTTGAACCTTTAAGCTCAGTCCGCCTAGTTGGCATCGAGGTCCACCCTGCTGCGTTCGAAAAAGACAACCCGGATTTAACAATATCGTTCATGTCCAGAAGGTCATTGGGATATATCTATGTGGAGACAGTTAAAAACGCGTTACAGATAACAGGCAATAACACTCGTCAAATGACAATAACAGCTGACAATGTTGACGATCTGAGCACTGTCCTAAAACATTTAATTTACACCAGTGTCGAGTACCACATAAGGCAGAGAGATGTTGTTGATATCACTTTAAGAGATTTTCACATCTCCATCAATGTCCTCACTCAGAGACTTCGCATGCCTAAGCTGTATGACCCAGGACTTGGAGGTGACATCAGCAGCAAAGTCACTGTCGTATCAAAGACATTTGAACGTTATGACTGCATCAATAAGCTCATTTTAAGTGTTAATAAATACTACCCCAATATGACCATATTAGTAGCTGATGATTCCCGGGTTAAACTACAGTTGAATGGAACTAATGTAAAACATTTTCATATGCCGTTTTTAGAAGGCTATGGTGCTGGTAAATCTCTACTTGTAAGCCAGGTGCGTACGAAGTATTTTTTGTGGACTGACGACGACTATGTATTTATAAATGAAACTATTTTAGAGCGGTTTGTAGAAAAACTAGAATCTCCAACAGCAGAGCTAGACTTAGTGGCGGGCTTCATAATGGATAACAAGGGTGTTATTTCTGATAGCATCGATAACGACATCTGGAAATGGGTTCGTTATA